CGACATGTGTACGAGAGATAAAGATGGAAGAATCGTCAGAAAGAAGGTCAAAGCTCAGAGTCAGCATGGAAAAGGTGGCAATGGTCTTGGTAATCATGACGCTCAACGGCACCGCAAGATCCCACGCGATACAATCAATGGCATCAAAAACCCCTCCATTCGTCGTTTGGCCCGCCGTGGTGGCGTCAAGCGTATATCCAACATGATCTACGAGGAGACCCGTAGTGTTGTCAAAAGTTTTCTCAGAAGTGTAATCTACGACGCCATTGTATACACCGAACATGCGAAACGCAAGACTGTCACTGAACTTGACGTCGTCCATGCCCTCAAGCGTCAAGGCCGTGAGTGATCACGCCGTTTCCATTGTTCTTACGAGGTCACTGATTTTGGTCCGTAGGCACCATCTACGGATACGGCAACTGAGTATTTCTGTCATTGCAGGTGATGAGACCACGCCACAAAGTCATATAGCGATATTGCATCACAATAGAAGGTCTGAAACAAAGTTATTGAATGTGCAACGTGTTGAACTGGTTCGTAAATTCAAAATTAGTGCTGACTTGTCACGCTGGAATCTGCGATAGGCGGTACAATGAGAATTTGATAAACATGTCCTCAGAGACAGCCAAATCCTACTCACATAGTCTGCCCACTTCGCAGGCTTATGCTTGAACTACAGAGGAAAGGGACAAGGCTTCTCGACGCTTATGGCGATCCTCTTCTTCTCCGACTCCGAGTCTTCGCGACAGAAGTGAGAGCATCAAATGACTGGTACTCGATGTACGCATATTGACTAAATCTCCATCGTCTCATCCATACTATTCTGAGAGTTTCAGATACTGTTGCAAAAGTTGATTCTCAAATGCAGTCAAGCAAGTTTTAGCCCTCAGTCACCCGCAATCACAACATCGATAAAGACTGGGATCATCACTTCGTGGAGTGATGGCCAATAACTCAGGTGTTGACGAACGCAATGACACATCTCCGAGAAGTTTCCATGACAGCTACGGCTTGCGCCCTGGATGCCTGTAGCGAGCTTTTGATGGAGTCGAGATCAGCAATGAGCTCTTCGAGTTGAGCGATCGCAGCATTCAATTTGAGATCCCCACACTTGATTTTTTGAAATCGCTTGCCCGCCGGACACTATCGAACACCTGAGGGGTACCACTGTTGTTGATTGGGACAACAGGCTGCGCAAGCGTGGAGTCTAGCCCCAAGTTTCCGAGCCAGTGCGTTAGGATGTTCTCTAATGACGCGTGTGCATTGGCATCGCTATGATCGTAAGGTGGAAAACGTTCATGGAGAGCCAGCAGCTCCTGTCGCAGGTGGGCGATGATCATTTCCACCTCCCTGTCGATAGAGGTCTTGAAGAGATGTAGAATCCCTTCAGGGGACATGTCTCGGTCGACAGTGGCATTGTGAGATCCCCAAGCTGGGGCACATTTGTATTCTTTTTCGAAAGGTATGGGTCCGATTGCGGCGACGAAGCGATTTTCCCCTGCAAGACCAAGGACAGAGGTGGGCTTAGTACGCGTGCGATCTTTGTAGACAGAAGGTTGCAAGTCCCGAGCTGATTGTTCGACAGTCATGCTGATTCAGAGGAGTGAAGGTCTCAAAGGTGTTCCACTCGGTGTATGATAGATATCCAGTTGGTCGCTGTCTTATTGTAGATGGCGGGTCTGTGTCACGAGGCCGGATACGTTGTGATGATAAGCTTTCGTTGCCTGTACGCGTTCATCGTTCTTCTTCATAACGTAGCTGCAATAATGCTGCAGGTACCCGATTGATCATATACTGCAGACCACAAAACAGATAAGGGGCTGGCTGCACATCACCCGCGAGGCCGCACGCGAAGAAGCAAAATATGCAACGCGGTCCTGTCCCTACAACAGCAACTATAGTACTTGGTTGTGGCTTCCTGCGGAAGTCATCCGTAGTGTATGGGAGTAGAAATCCATTGGAACCTTAATATCGGCCCTTAGATCGGCTAGCATCTGTACGAACCTGCTTGCTTTACCTGCTGAGGACCACTTGCAGGATACAAAGCGTCTGGCCATGATACGTGGGATCAACGAAGGATTTTCGTGATAAGGGTTCCTCGAACAGCTTCGATGCGAAGCACACTTTCAGAACATGGAGATGACGCTTACCGCTTTGGCAGTGTGGAGGCTTGCAGCTTGCATAACAAAAGGCATTGATCTCGTCTAATCGAGGCACTATGGGGCAGCGATCTCCCCTGTGGAGTTAATTTAGTCCAGGATATCAGATACGTGGAGATGTCTACTTTGGATGGGAGTTGTGTATGTGAAACTTACGAAAGGAAGGAAGGAAGCAGGGAAATGGAGATCGTGAGGATTGAATGCGCGGCTGCGAAGCCCACACACTAGTGTCTAGGCTGCCACAGGAGACCTATGGTTTTGATCGAGTCCCGTATACATCCACTTAAGTTGCACTCTCGCTGTAAGCCCCGCTGGAAGTGACGGCCAACGTAGAACAACTTCTTCTAGTTCCTATTTAGAAGTGCCCTGCGACTTGATTACGAAACTCCTTCTGGTGCTAGTTCGCCCTCCCTCGTTTTCAGATCACAACATCAATCAGGGCCATACCCTTTACTCGATGACCTGATCGTCATCATCCTGATCGTCGATGAATGCATTGAGACTTTTCCGAGAGAGTCTCTGACTAGCTGTGGCTTGCGCCTTGTATGCCTGTAGCGAGTTTTTGAAAGACTCGATATGGGCGATTGGCTCATTCAAGAGATTGACGAAGTCAACCATCGTGGCTAGCGTGGAATCACACTTCGAGATTGCCTCATCGAAACGTTTCCTGAAACCCCTTGCTAGCCTGATGTCATCTAGCGCTCGATGGGCGTCGCTGCGGCTGACGAGAACAGCAGGCTGCGCAAGCGTGGAATCCAGCCCCACGATTCCGCGAAGGGGCCTTAGCATGTCCTCTATAATCGCATGCACATCGATATGGCTGTGGGCACGAGAGGGGAGATGTTCCCCTAGAGCTGGCAACTCTTCGTGTCGGCGGCCGTCGAACCTAGCCACCTCCGTACTGATCACATTCGCCAAGAGAGGACGCAGGACTTCCAGAGAAGTCATATCACGGTCGACGGAGGCGTCCTGAGCCTCTCCAATCACGACATCTGCGGGTTCCATCTCGGGAGCGATTGGTGGAACAGCGACGACGGAACGGTCCTCCGCCACAAGACCCGGGGGCAAGTCAGGTATGGTGGCGTCCCGACCCTCGTGAATAGCAGGCTGCAATTCGCGAGCTGATGACTCTTCTCGCCGATCGACCAAAGGCGGAGAGGTCTGCTGCAGCTCGTGCAGATGAGATTGTTGGCTTGGCTCAACTTCTAGGGCTGCAGCTGGTCCATCTGTTCCGCCGGTACGCGGAGAACCTGCGCTTTCAATTATGAAATCGATCTTCTGGGCAGTCGCAGCCGAAGACGTTTCTGGATGTGTCGTGCCGTCGTCTCCGTTCGTCTCGGTATTCGTCTCAACTGATTGATCTTCACGTTCAGAGACACCGTTGTTGGTCATGCTGCGCCCTGCACTTGGCTCTTGCTCTCGAGGAGTGGTCAAAGCCATCGTGGTGTTGGTTGTGTGAGTGACAAGGCTTTGATCCAGCGATTCGTTCATTGACTGAGTGGGAATACCAGGAATGGGGGCTATCAGATACCATTTGTACTTTTTGTTCTCCTTCGAAAGTTCTTTTCGGAAGAGCTCTTTATGTTGGCTCAGCGTGGCCCCCATCGAGTTCTTCGCTGTTCTTGGGGCCTGACCACTTTTGCTCTGGGCACCATTGCTCTTATCGCAGATATCTTGCAAAGTGAGACCATCTGGGTATTCATTCAGAATCTCCTTCGCAACCTGTACCAAGGTCTTCCCGCCCTTCATTGGACCCGGTGAAGCGATTGGGACAGTGTTGGAGTTGTTCACTGTCTGCCATGGAGTGTCCGGACTGTTCGCTATCGGCGATTGCCTGCTAAGCAAATCACTGAGAGATTCGGGCACTGTGCCCGGATCCGAAGCCAAGGGTCGAGAGCCTCGCGCTTGCTTCTTCCGTGGGTCACTTTTGTCGGGTTCTTTCCCTTCGCTGAATTAGTATACGACGCCCTGAGGGTTTCGTCGGCGCAGGGTGAATGCGCACCTCTTTTGTGTCCGGATCGTGTTTGCGCGTCGCGACTTGACGACGCGTTATTGTCGTTTCCACTCATTCTTGTCATCAACGAAGACGAGAACAACGAGAATCAGATGGGTCTCAATGTTACAATCACGGCTCTGTAGGGTCGATTGTGTTCAAAGACGGACAGCCGAAAAACCCTTGAAGATGCGTCGAGCGTCTAGGACGAAAAGGTGTCCCATAGAATATGGGACTTCAGACCATGACCGCTAGCGCTGCAAAGCGCTGCAAAGAGAGAGTTTTAATCGGCAGAATTCGCCGACTGGCCCGATTCGGACATCGCGCTTGCCGTAGGGGCGACCCTGCTTCCGATTTGAAATGTCGGCACGTGGTAATTCTAACTTTGAAGTGCTAACATCTAGAGTGGACGAATGTTAGTGAAGGCCTCCTAGATGCGTCTGAGGTTCGACTACGTGGTGTTTATAACTATTGTTGCCAGATCGACTATAAATTATATCTAGCAGTCCCAAAGAGATGAAGGTTGCGGAAGGACCATCGGTGGCTAGCTTCGAATGTCGGTCTTCTTACCGAACGTACCAGAACCGCACTGCTAGTGTACAAGATGATAATCTCCAAAGTTCTATAGCTTGCTCAACCGTATGTGTCTATCACAGCAGGTTGCAACGTGATATGCTCTGATGATAAGGCCTATTTGCGACTTCGTCACTAGCCATTCGAGTTGGAATGACGGCTGTAGGTCACGTGAGGATGATCATAAGCTTCCATTACCTCGGTGTCCTCTTCTTGGCACGCACCTAGCTTGTAGCCGTTGCGTTTTATCAACTGATGGTTTTAAGTTTGTTGCTTAACAGCAATGTACACTATAGCATGTCTCAGTAACAAGAAAAAAAACTCTCTTTATGTATCATTGATTGGTGTATCCTGACCTGTGCGTGCATCTATGTACGTGCTATGGTTATGCTATTATTGGAGTGAAGCGACAGTGCTAACCAAGCTGTGTTTACATGGAGAACATGGCTGCTGCCGAGAATCGTTAGTTCATGCTTTCACTCGATCTGTTGTGTAAGCTCTATTCTCTATCACTTCTTCTGGTCTAAGTGCAACGTCAACAAACAATAGCCAAGTTTTTACTTCCGATCAGTATCAGGTTCTGACGTGTCTCGAAATGTATTCTTGACGGATAGCTCTTGCCATGGCTTTGCTGGGACAGATTTGTACATTGTTCGGGCTTAAGCGCGAATTGTCGCGTTGCGATAGGTCACTGACCAGGAGGATTCCACAGCCACCATGCAATATATTTGTGGGAATAGTGCATGTATGCCGTTGAGCAATCTAAGTGTTGGCGCCTACGTGTCATGTCTATATTTACGCCCTGCTTTGTCGGTCGGGAGTCTCCTGAGATCGTTTCAAACTCACAAGCCTTTGGCCCAAAGGCAGATAATTCGATCATCGCCAGGGACTTTACTTCACGGCAAGGCAATTGCTAAACACTGTTATAAATACTACCACCGTGTCTCACGTCTTGAGCTGGTTCCAGCACTTCGTAAGAGATCGACCTCTGATGTCTAGATCTGTGGCTTTCCGATGGACCGAGTCTTCAAGATGGCTTTTTCAACCTCGTACGTTGCCCATGGGCATTACCCCTGTCACTCTCTTCCGAGTTTGCAGACTGATACGCCTCAGATGATGTTCCGCTCACCATGATCTGGTGCACCGTCTTCGTCTTCACTTTAACACTACTCCTAAGAGTAGGTTTTGGCTCAAGGGGAATAGTCTCAGGTGTGTTAATTGACGGTATCTATCGCAAACCCAGACTTACCAGGTGAGGCTCCGTTGCTGCAAGCTTCCAGAGTACGAGATATGGAGCCTTTACTCCAAGGGGTGGAATGTTCGCCCGCTTGACAGGCTTAGGCATGGTCCGATCTTCCAGAATAGCCGTTGCGATTGCGGCAGGTCTCTTCGCATCAGTAGTCACTGTTCTGGTGTGGCTGGAAAGATATCGAGCAGTCTGAAATTGTCTGACGTGAGAATAACCCAACTTTGAGCCAGCTGAACCAGATCAAGAATTATGAGCTTCGGGACTCTCGCAGACACACCACTGCTCAATTACTCGATCATAGTTTTGGTCTACTGAACAGTTACCCCAGCAAGTGGAAGCGATGATATCGGATATCTGGTGGAGAGGAGAGGCTGCGGCCGTGGGGCATGATATATGTGAGACCTTAGAGATGTATGCTAAATGATTCGAGCGGTGCAGAAAAGTTCTGCGGAGCCTGATGCCTGTCGACGGCTTTGGTCAAGAGACATGGTTTTCATGCAAACGAGAGGGCAAGGAGCATCTTGGCGGGCGCGGAGAAGCTCTTGTAGAGAGTAATGATACACAACACTCTGTCGCTTTTGCCCAAATAGCGGTGTAAATTTGCTTCAGATATCGTGGATGCGCTGCTTCGCGCTACCGATGGTTTGATGAAGCAGCGAAGCCCTGCCTAGGTAAAGCAGACTTCGCGAAGCTCGACGGGCCGTAGTGTAGACACGCTGGTTGGCTACACCGCACCAAAGTCCGCTGTTTCAAGTGTCGAGGGGCAGGTCTTGCTTCTCGGCACGTCGTCGTCAGACCTCGGAGTTCCTTCGTGGTCAAGCTCGTGAAATACAAACAGACAACACCATGTGGCTAGATTTGAAACAAGACCGGGAGAGAAAAGCCCGTGCGTGTTCTGCCGGAAGCATGTCTTGGCAGTCGTCTCGAAGCAGGATTCGGATTCGCATGCGTCATAACAAGGAGCTCAAGTTACAGTCCCTGCGCGACTTGCGCAACAACACCGAATGTCAGAAAACAATGACGACTGACTCGAAGAGAGGTCAAGTTGTAGAGCCAGTCACCAACAGCGTCTCCATTCATATTTGAGCTCCACGATCGAGTGATGACAGCAACAAGACCAGTATATGGGCGTGACGTCTGTTGCCTGAACAACAGCAGCCACAACAAGACCACAAGTAGAAGATTCTCAAGCTGTGACACAAGAGACTGGAGAATATATGAATCGATATCATTGTGATGAAAAAGGCGACATGAGGCCCATTGTTGCTGGCGAACGCTTTTGATGCTCAGGACAAGACACAAACGAACGTCAATTGGGGAAAGAGCTACGTAGGCGAGACTCCACGCTGAATCGCTTCCTATTGCATCTTGTCTCTGTGCCACTCACATTTTCCCAGTCGCCCCTCCTTAGCTGCCTCTGAACTACAAAGACATCCTCGACTCAACATGAACGATCACTGAACCGTCCACCGTCATCTGGTCAGTGAGAGAGACATCATCGCCGCAATAACTAGCCAGTTCCGGCTGCGAGGGGATTGCGTCACTTGTCACAGCACTCTCTAGCCATCTGTAAGCTTCGTTCTCACCCCTGAAGTCTGCGCATCAGAGTCAACCGCAAGGCAATTGGAGCAGCACCAAAAGTACATCTCGCCTAGTCGCTCGCCCCTTGTGTTGTTCTGACGAGTGCAGTCGAATGCCACTTCAGCCCATGCTACCAGCCCCACCATGCCATCTTCTACGAACACGAGTCGGACCGTCAGAGAGTAGCTTTCTCATGACCCTGTGTCCCCTCCAGCCCGGCGCCTCCGTCGTCGGCGACCAAACCCACCGCCAGCCGCGTCCATCAATACTCGCTTCCCTCAGACGGCGTCAACTTTTACATATGTCCTTATTACAGCAACTGCCCCTTCCTTATCCGCTGTCTCTGAAGGCCAACCAACCAATATGGTTTGTGACCGCAACGCACAAGAGCAACGTGTCCAGCATGGCAGTGTCCGCGACTTCCCACAGCCCCCTTCCCAATGTGCCAGCGATGCCCATCAGGAAGCCGACTATCCACAATGCTCTCGCCAGCAGAGCTCCCGTCAGGAAGACACCGGCGAGCAAGACTGCCACAAGAGAGTCGACCTCCGGCAAGCCAGCTGCCAACAAGAAGCCAACAAGTACGGATTCTGGCAGCACTCTCTCTACGAGCACGACCTCCAAAGGCTCCAACAGCTCGTTGTTCGCACGCCAGAGTCTTCGTCGCTCTCTGCCATCAACGCCAAACGTGCCCACGACCTGGCTACTGTCCTCAATATGGACAATCCTGATCCGTCATCTCTCTGCTTGAAATGTCCTGCCCCGTCGTGTCGGACAACCTTTCCAGAGACTACCACTTATCGAGGCTTCGAAGAACACACGCGCCGGCACAACCTCGAGTTCTTTCGCATTGACCTTCGTGTCTGTCCCTTTGGCTGTCAACTTGGGATTTTTGATACCGTACAGCAGTACATACATATTGACAGCTGCCCACGTACATCGACTGTCGACCCTAATGCTTCGCCGCCTAAGTTTATCTACAACGATTGCGCATGCCATACGCTCGTCGGCTTATCCTCCTTTCCTGATCATTGGTCTCAGGTACATGCTAGATACGCATCCTATCATCTGAACGTCCCTTTGAAAGACGATGTTTGCGGATACAGCTGGCTAGACAGTGTTAGGTTCTTGCGACACGTTTCCGGTTCCGATCCTAGTTCGCCACAGCATGTCGAAACACTCCTTCACCAGTACGACCCATCATCATTCATCGTCTATCAACATACAAACGACATCCTCCGATCTTCTGTCCTTTGCCCAGAACCCGAAGCTCACTACGATCTGCAAGCTCTTGAGTGCCGCTTCATAACACAACAAGATTTGCAGATCCTCGGGATGCAGCAACTTGCAAAGTCCCAAATCATCTATTCAATCATGCAAGGCCTATGCCCTGTCCTTGTCCCGATGAGCGTGAATGCTATGTCCCAACATTGGGAGAGACTTTGCCTCTATACGTACCAATTCAACATCGAATATGGACCACTCAACGTTTGGCTCCGCATCTCCCAGGAAGAAGCCGAAGACGTCGGCAAATATACGTCTACAGGTTCTTTGTCCAGCACCACTCGTCAATGGACGTATTGGCTTTTATATCTCTACTGACATCATGGAGCATGAATCGCAGATCAAAAGTGACGGGGGGCTCAGATACGGCGCGAGTGAATTGGGGGACTTCGTTATTGAAATGAATTCCTGTCTTCTTCTACATATACATATGATGAGCGCATGCCTCATTAGATTTTCCTATGTAGTCATGGTCTGGACTGTCATTGCGCTGAGTCTGTAGGCCGATCAACTACTTCTGGGATCAGTATACAGAACCCACATCTGGCTCTTGTATCGAGACGACAATCTCCTTCCTCGTTGCTGGCATTATCAATATGCTTATCGACATCGCTATATCGCTCGTCTCAATTTCGTGTTTACTAAAGTCAGAAATTTCACTGATGGACCGCTTTATGTTGATCTGTATCTTCATGCTTGGAGGTTTGTGAGTACTCACTGTTCATCTGAGAGCGCGATTGCTTTGCTCACTCTATCAAGCGTCTGCATCGCTAGCGCGATGCGAATTCACTATCTCCAAGTTCTCCGTACCAGCACAGATATCACGCACTCGATGGGAAGCGTTTTCATATGGACCTCTGGGGAGCCCGCCATTGGCATACTCTCATCTCGGTTGATCTGTATTCGCCCAGTTGTGCGAATATTCTCATTGACGAAAGACTAGACAGCTGTTGGGTAATAGCGTGTCACTCGAATTGTAGGCCAAACACATTGTCTTCATTACGCGGTGTTGACATTTGAGACAAGATGGTATCTGGAGCACAGAACACATGTATGTTTACTGGAGAAGTCATTTTTCCTGCTTTTGACTCGAGCAATCTGACCCTGGCTTGACTATTCACCGTCCTTGTTGGAGGAGGCCTCACACGGGCGATATCGCCCTGTACCATGATACTTGCGAGAATGAGTGGAAAGATATGTCTCTAGACTCAGACATATGTAGAGGGGCATCTTGCTGATTTTATCACTTGCGGCTAGGTTGTCTGTTGCCCACTGGCGGTTGCCGAGGTTTGCAATCGCCTATATCAATCGGTCATCAGCATCTGCTGCATCACTCAATATCATATGCGCTAAAAGGTACCGCATGGTTCTTCGAATCTATATTCTCTGTATGATTGGCGTCAGAAGAGTCGAAGTTTGTATACCATGAAGAAAAACTTACACAGCAACTACATTAGGGGGACAGCGTTTGTGTGACTCCTGGTATGTGACGCACCAGGCTCGTACAGTATAACGCAGGTGGCCACAGCAGTATTCGACCTTGGTGTAGTCACACATAATGCTCGAAAATGCGGTGGATTCGTGATTCGACCAGGTGTTAGCGGTAGGAATTAATTTGGCTTTGTGTTCGAAGTGGAGGAGGTGAAGAACAGGGAGAACGGATGGGGCAAGAATGATTCGAGATATCATTAAGGTCTTAAAACCCAGCGAATATTGGTGGCGAGCAAAGACTTCCATCGACCTGCTCTCGGGCAGGAAAACACCTCATTTCCTTCGTCTCGTGCTACTGAAACATGCAGACGACGCAGGAAAGCACAGAAGAAGTCAATGAGTGTCAATAATGCAAGGCATCAAGTAGCCCAGCGGCTCGTGGTTCCCACAGCTTATCCCAATCACCCACCTCGGAGTCATTATTGATGCGACATCCATCGCTAGGGCATATGCATGGATGTCCGGGTGAACGGTAATGCCGATTAGATGAAGTGTCCTTGAGCACTCCACAAGGGGCAGGACCAGGAGGGATCCGCTGCATATAGCGTGTTCCCACCGGCGAACAGAGCGAAGATTGTGCTGCTTGAAACTCGCTTGCCAGGGGCGATATGCAGGAAGTCATCATGATGAACCTGATAGTAGATTGCATCTATCGAAATCCTACCTTTTCGGATGCCAGGATTACTAGTTGCACACATTGGCGTTGTCCAGTGTTGTGGGAGGGTGTTCCCCTGGCGATCACAAAAAAAGCGTCGGTGATGCCGGCAGCAGTTCAAGGTCACACGCGATTCGGG